TTTGGGTTTTCGTGTATGTGTTCTTAGCAGTTAGTTTTCAGTCGCTTATTACTAAATGAATTTGCTCCGCAGTGCTGTCACCCGCTGCCGAGTTCTTTGTGCACATATGTACATATTTATGTACCTCCATATGTACATACATAAAATTTAGTACACGTTTTTGAATTGTTTCCCTGTTTGTTAGATTTTTTATTTACTTTTTAGTTGGTCTTCAACTAGTTAAGCTAAATACTATATTTGTTTTTGTTGCTGTGTTTTTGTTTTTGTCTTGGATTTTGTTTTCTTTTGAATAGCTATGCCTTTATGTTGGTGTGAAAGATGGGTGGTTGTGACGCGTCGAGGTTGTTTGGGCTCATTTTTTAGCTGCTGTACAACAATTTGTAGACTAAGCTATGAGCTCATATTGCATTGCTCTTTTGGGATGCCAGCCAAGGTACGTCCGTTTTCTTGCACTCTCCTCGAAGGAATTTCCACACCTTTTCTTTACATTTCTTCCGCGTATTTTAAGTGGAATTTTTTTAAGTTTTGTTTTCCTTTTGCTTGAATGGAAAGTTTGGTGTTTGAAAATGTTTTTTTTTTTAGGTGCTGTTTTTGGGAAGGATCATCTCCCCAAAAGTAAGGGTTAGATGACTCAGTTATGGATTTTACTGTGTGTTGTTTATTAAATTACATATGTACCTATCGGCAGACGCACGTTTGTATATGTACTATATATGTATGTATAAGTAAAAGTGTTGTCGTTTTTTTGGTTTCAGTTTTTTGTTAGTTAAATTTATAGGTAACTGACTCCTGCTCTTTCAATTATTGGATCGGGTTGCCAATTATTATCGAATCATAAAAATGAGGAAAAAAGAGGACAGAACAACAATTTTTCCTAATTGGTACAAGTATGGACTTAATTATTCATACATACATACATGCATATGTGTAGGTAAGTATCTATGTATGTATGTATATTCAATGCTCTTTTTTATTTAAGTATCTATGTATGTACACATGCATATGCTATAAGCGTGTATGTATGCATCTAAAAATATGTTAAAATCTAATTTACATTTACAATTACGGCTAAGCTTTTTTTTTTTTTTTTGTTAAAGGTTAAATACCTGTTTATTTATTTATGTATGTACATATGCAGATTAAGCCAATATTGTTGGGTTTTAAGCGAAAATTTATCGAATCCAAGCAGTGTGAAGTATAGCAAACATACATACACACGTACGTATGTTATGTGTATGTATTTGTAAATGATTTTTGATTTTCCACAAACATATTCATATACATACATACATAAGAATAAATAGTTCACAGTGGAAGGCTTAATGTTTGTTGTTATTGCACTTCATAGAGATTTTTACGGCTGTTGGTCGTTCTGATGAAACAAACCAAATATGTATGTATGTGTGGATTAACAACAGGCTCAAAGTCCTCGGAAAATTTGCATTTACTTTTATCCGAAGCATTTTTCACTATTAACAAATATTGGCAATTTTTCAATTACTTCTAATTAAATTTATTTTTTTTGTTTGATCAGTTAAAAAAGTAATAAAATGAAAAAAGCGTTTTATTGCTGCGCTCTTGCTTATCAGCTGGCAAGCATTCATTCATACAAATTTACGTACATACGTATGCACATACATATGAACATTAGACTGTCCCTGACCATAAGAAGAATTTCCATGCGCATAACTTGCCATCGTTTTCATTTAGTTCTAAATAACTAATCAAGTTTTATTGCTGTATGACTAACTCGATTGAAGTTTTGGTTCACAAATTTTACGGAGATTGCCACAACATTGGTGATATGTGTGAAAATAGAGCTTAATCGTAATAACTGCATCTACATTATTTATTATTTCAAGGATATAGAACGCAGTCTTGTATGCTTCACCTTCGCCACTGGCAACATTTTTTTTTGCTACTCGCTGACGTCTATGAGCCTCTGATCTTTTGCTATCACATCAGATTTCGAGACCTTCGTCTTTTCTGACCTGAGAGGTGGTCACAGGTGTCGCATCTAGTGGATATATTTAAGGGGGTGTGCTCTTGAGAGTGTGGTAAGTTTACTATAGTGGTAAGCTTATATTTAAGCCAAGGAAAAATTTAAGAGGACATACATACTGAAAAAATTTACGGGACACCCTAATGTACATATGCATAATCGTATCGTAAAACAAATTCTTATTTTCTATCAATAGAGATAATCACACAGCGGAAAAAATGCAAGTTTTTTTTTTGGGAGATTTCTATATTATCTACATAATCGTAGCAGTGAACTTTTTTAAAAATGTTTTTTTTTTGTTTTTTTATTTTTTATTTTTATCTTGTTTTATCACAATGATTTCAGCATAAACAGGATTACGATTTTAGCTAATGAGTAAATTATTACGAATAACGAAAAATATGTACAAAGTAAAAAAATTACAATGAATGCATAGAGGAAAGATTTCAATAAGCCGCGAAATGCGGAATTTACTTATTTTTAGGCTTGCGGAGAAGGTTCCTTTCAGCCAAAAAAAGAGGCTTGGGGCGCGGCGCCAAATTCATGTAAGCATTTACCTATACACTGTTGCACATACACACACACACATGCTTTTTATAAACACACATACATATACACATTCATATTTAATAAGTTTACATACATACATACATATTTAATATATAAGCTTTTACATATTTGAAGTTTTATTTAAGTTTAATTTCTGTAATTAAATTTATTTAATAGGAGAGACTTGGCGTGCTTTTATTGTTGTTGTTGTTTTTAATTATTTTTAATGTTCACTTAAATGGCATCAACCAGCTGTTCACTTAATGTATGTAAATACACATTGCGCTATTCATATGTACACACGTGCATATGTCAGTATGTATCAATGTAACTCTATATCTGTGTATTTGCTGGACACTCGTAAGGATATCATCAACAAAAAAGTTTTCGCCACAGCAAACGGCAACGACGCTATTACGACGGGGGTAATTTTTAAGTAGTTGTGTTTAGAATTCATGGGCTTGGTTTATTGGGGGTTTGGTGTACATATGTATTCTTTTTTCTACACATTTATACATAAATAGATACTCGATGTTATGCACGACGAGTACAAACATACATACATATCCAAGAAGGTATGTATGTATTTACTATGTAGGCGTGTACCAAAGTGTTTTGGTTGGTTTTGGTCTACAATTATTGACTATTTATTTTTAATTTGCGTTAGTGCCCCCTTGACTTGCATTCCCTCCGCTCACTTAGATGCTTTTTAATTTCTCTTCAAATTACTGGCGTTTTCAGTGCGAATTCTGGAAGGTGTGATTTGTTTCCTAGAGTTTATGCAGGTGTGTGCTTAAATACTTATTTATGTTGTTTTCAAGGAGTGTATTTGGCAACATTTTCTTTCTTTTCATTGAGTGTTGGGAAGCTTATTTCTCTAACAAATTCAGCAAAATTTTACAATTATAATTTAAGCAACTCTCTAAATTTTGTTTGATTATGTAAAAATAATTTTTTTTTTTCCAACTTTGCGGGCAGGCAACTGAATTAGAGAAATTAAATACAAAAGCAATGTTAATCGCACTTGTCACCAAACCAGTTGAGGGAGACAATTACGGAAATTTTTCTAAAAATTATTCAATTCATTCCATTTGATTTGATTTGTTCGTTTACGGGTTTTCCTTGCACAGAAGTGGACGGAAGTTAATTGCCATCTTTGTCAAAACTGGAAGTTGTTCTGCCGCTAGGTTGGAACCTTTTTTTAATGCCGAAAAATAAAAGAAAACAAAAACGAAGGCAAGTAAAATAAAATTAAAAAAAAAATTTGTTTCATAAGGCAGTGTCACACGATTGGACATTTGCCAAAATTTGGCACACATTTCATCCCAATCGCGTGAATTCAAAAATTTTCCATAGAAGTTCGCTGTATTATCATCAATCGTGTGACTACAAAAAAATTTCCGTCCCATTTTTTTTTATTTTGTACCAATAGCCCAATATAAAAAATGTACAAAACTGTATAAATTTACCAATCGTGTGACACTGCCTTTAGAGCCTCGCCGTAATAATGCCCAAACGTTAATATAGAATATTTTAACCTGGCAACTCTTAACTCTTTTTAACTTTTATTCCATGGAAGTTTAGTGCGATAGATGTTTCAGTTGACAGCGAAGAAGCATCCGATGATTGAAAATACATTTATAATGGCCCCAAGTTTAGAAAACGGACCTTGGCACTCACATTCAAGGATACGATTTGTTCACCTTCGATAAATTTAAGTAAAATTTTCTGCGTAATATTATAATATTTTAGTTAAAAAACACCAATAATTGGCGGAGTCAAAGAGGATGATTTGCATATACGTACGACTTTTATTATTATTTTTTCACCAGAAAACGGAAATTTTGACCCACAGTAAAAAAAAATTCTTTTCGGGTTCACACTGGTCTTAACGTTTGAGCATTCTTTCGTTGAGAGCCTGAAATGCACGTTGTAACACTTTCTTCGGGTTGCAAATAAAAATCTACAGAAAATATAATTAAATTTAAGTAATTTTTGAAATGAAAATAATTGTTGTTTGGTAATACTGTTTTATTGGTTTCATATTCTTTTATTCATCGTAATTCGCATTTTTTATTTAATGTTAACCTTTTCGTACACTTAAGCAAATAACTAATAATTTATAACAAAAAGCCAATTGGCGTAAAAACTGAAGGAAGCTGCAATTGGAAACTCACTGCAAAAACAGCATTAAATTATCGGTTTTTATATAAATTTTATCAAGTAAAAATGTTAAGCATTATACATAAATTCTCTGTTCAATTTAGACATATTTTTTTTACTAATTGCTAGCCGATAAATGTTGGAGGAATATTTTCACTTAATTAACTTATTTGCGTAAATATTTTGCATCTTATTATATTTTACAAATCGTTTGTATTTAACAATTGTTAAAAAAAAAACATAATTTTGGACAATTTCGCAATTGATCGCTGAATTCTACCCTCTCTTTTCCCAGCGTTTTTTTCCACTAACTTTCTAATTTATTCTTATTTTTCTTGCTTCTACTACATTTGACCCATAGCTGAACTACATATGCACGTCATGTGCGTGTTCTTGCATGCATTTGTAATTTCATTCGTTTAACTGCCTGTCGTGGTTTGATCGCGTAGGTATCTAAAATCTATGCCAGTCTCTAAAAGCTCGAGTACCCCAAAAAGCAGCTGTTTGCATTTCCCCCCCATTTGGCGAAGGCGTCGACTGTTCTCTGCTAAATAGGCGACGCTGTTCCCCCGGCCGTCGGGCGCTGCGATCAAATGGGCTGTGTTCTACGTTGTCTGTTGTCTGTTGTCTGTTGCCTGTTGCCTGTTGCCTTAGTTAATATTCTTAAATTGGTGTGAATTTTTGATTTCCCATTTTGCTATTATTGTACATAGGTATGTATGTATATGTAACTACTTGTGTCGTTACATAAAGTGTTAGACATAAATTATCTTATCTTATCGCATAACTACATACTTAATATCGATTTATTCACTACTGTACACATACAAAACATATTTTGTTTCTTGCATTTGTTATTTATTATTCCTAGTTTTCCTAGTTGCTCTTCGTCTAAACGACCTTCGCGCATCGTCGATATCTTCTTGTAAATACATACATTTATGTGGCATATCTATCCATTCGTTAATCTACGTATGTAATTGTTTCTTTGTTAGTTTAGTTCTATGTATGCATCTTAAATGTGACTTCCCACTGCATCGTTCCGATCCTCCGAAGGATGATAATTTCCTTTTTTACATATACACCGATTTATTCCTTTCGTCTTATATCCTTCGTTTACATTGAGTCATATTTTATTTATTCTTCTTCTTCTAGTTATTTCATATCCAAAGCGCTACTCTAGTTTTTAGTTAATAACTATTTTCTAATCTGTTTTTTTTTTTTTATTTCAATTTGAAATTAACACAAATTCATTTTCTTTTTCGGCTACCCATTCTTAATTCCCCCTATTGTTTCCCTGTAGCTAACACGCGGCGTTGTTGTTGCTGCTCCGCAGACACTCGATATCCGTGTGTAGCTTCCTCAGCAGCTGCCGTCGCTTATTGAGCACCCGGAGCGTGTCTTCCGCCGCCGCTCCAGCAGCCGCCGTCGACGCCGTCGTTTCCTTCAGCGTTTTATCATCAGCTGAATGCACTGGCGCCTCTCTTCTTCGGCGTTTGCGCGCATTCGCCACACCGGCTGTACCACCGGTCGCTCCTTTCTTCTTAACAAACTTGATGTTGTAGGGATCCTCGGCCAGTTCCGGGTAGAGCGCTACGTCGTGTATGTACTCGCCTTCGTAGTTGTTCGCGTAGCTTTGTTTCAGGATCTCGTCGATCTCCTGTTGGCTCCATTCTATGGTCGTTGTTAGACCATTACGCAGCGCCTCCTTCTCACGGTGCCACGCCTTGCGCACCGCCGTCAATTTGGCGTGGTGCATGAGGCGCTGTTTCTCTTTATCGACTGTGGTGCCATATCGTAGATTGATTATGGCGTGAGCGCCGTGAATTTTCACATCCAAATAGTTGTTGCCACTACCGTTTTCTCGTGAGTTCTCGTGGAAGGTCGTGTTCACCTGTCCTTGAAGACGTTTCAGTTGCTGGCGGTCTTCACTGGCGCGCCATGCCTCCTCTTTGACAAAGAAGAACGAGTCTTGCTGTGCGTTGTGCACCACAAATGTGAATGGCAGCAGCTTGGAGCGGTTGAAGACCGATGTGTAGACGTCGCGGTAGATGGCGTTCGCTGCGGGAACACTGGAAACGATGGCTTGGCCATCATTAGTGCGAGAAACAACGATTCCCTTACCAAACGGTGGCTCGGTGTCTGAGCCAATGTTACGCGGGGTCGGGTTCATGACATCAAACTTGAGCGCAGACTTTGGCGGTGCAGACAAGTCCTCGAAATTGGACATTCGCCGCACATTAAGGTGCGCCAAGAAACCACTCTCCACAGCCATGGTCGGTATGTTATCTATGGGTCGTTTCATGTTGAGCGCAATTGGATTATGCGGCGCACGACCCCACAGCGAGGGCTGTTCCCATAGGTTTCGCGTTAGCTGTGGAACCAAGTTCTTTATACTGAAGCCAAGTGTCTTCATCCACGAAGAAAAGTCGGCGGGATAGTTGCGGTCGTGGTCGACATTTATGGGATCATTGCCATTGAAGCGATAAAGGTGCATCTTCGTGGGTGTTATGATGCGCTCGGACACGTGTTCCCAGTTGGGCGACATCCATTGGCCGATTAGTGGGTCATATACTCTACCATCGCCCATGTGCACGAGAGCTGTGACAGGGTCCAAAATGCCACCACAGAAGTCAATAGGCAGAAAGAGGTATGGATTGGAGTCGTAAACGATGTGACCGAATGGCGAGCGCATAATTTCCCTTATGTCCTCGCCGTATTGGTTGAAAATCATGATCGGAGTTCCGCTCTGGTCTGTGGCCACGTAATATTTGTGCCTGTACACTTGTGCATAGATAAGATGACCCACATCGTCGTAGGTTAGTGACATTAGTTTTCCGTCGCGTGGTGAATATATTTGAGAAACTTCATACGGCCGATCTTGATTAGTGTAGAAGAACTGGGTTACGTTTCCAAAGTTGTCCTTTCGGGTGGTTAGACGTTTCATGTGGTCATAGTAGTAGCGTACATCGAACCGTCCACGCTTGGTGGCGCGAACCAGTAAGCCCTGTGTGTTGTAGTGAAAGCGCTCTTCTCGCGCATTCTGGGCAACCAGTCCACGAGTGTCGTACTTGTACTGACCCTCCCCAAATTTAACGATGCGGTCCTGTGCATTGTATTCCATGGGGATGGTGTTACCTCGGTACGTCAGCGATAGTAGGTTGCCGTTGTCATCGTAGCGGAAGCCCCACGGCTCCTGAGCTTCCACCCCAACTAGCTGGCCGTCACAATCCCAAGTATAGTTTTTAACATTGGTGTATGTATTGACGGCCATGTTGCGTGTGTAGGTACGTGTTTGGGTGATGCGTCCATGCATTCCGAATGAAAACTCCATACGGAACACTTCGAGCCGATGTATGGAGAGAGTCACTTTCTGCGTTAGGAAGCGGCCATCCACCGTCCGCGTAAAAGTCGCTGTACCATCGTAGACTTGTGTCTGATTCAGCATTGGATGCATAATCTTGAATTGGCCAATGAGACTTGGCTGACCTGTACGTTGGTTGTATGCAAAATTTTGCGAGGGTAGATTTTGGCCACCTATGCGTCCCTGGATCGAAATGACACGAAAATCAGTATCATACTCATAGGTGAATTTGGCATTGCTTAGTCCTGTCTTGGCCACATAGTCGATGCGCTCTTCGCTCAGCAAACCTCCGGTGTATTCAAAGTCCCAACGATACTCCAGTTCCCGCTCGGTGTGTGAGACTGTACTGGGCATGCCCGTAGCATCGTTGTAAAGAAACTCGCTCTTTCCATCGCCGTGCACGATCTCAGCCAGTTGACCGCCCGAGTTGTAGCGGTAAACAATGCGTGCGCCGTCACCAGGGAATATTGTCTGAAGCAGGGCACCAGAATGACTGTAATGCTGCAAGTAAGCTCGCGTACTGCCAGGCGGCGTGTAAGTGCAACGGATGAAGCCGATGGATGTCTGCATGCTAAAGGAGTGTTTTGTACCAGATGGCATCAGAACGTGCCTGAGACCGCCCGACTCGTCGTACTGCAGTACAAACTTCCGCTGGCTTGCCAAGCCGATCTCCGACATCAAATTCCAATCGTTGTAGACAAAGGAAATTATGCCATCTTGCTGTGAGGTGATCTCTGAGAGCAGGCCATGTCTATCATATGAATATTTGAGCTCAGCCGGACCCCAGGCCCAGCCTTCAATGCGATTGAAGCGGTCGTAGGTGATGTTCACAGGATAACCGTTGGTCGGATAATACGACTTTGGCAGTCCAGACTGATCGTATGCAACAATGAGGATCGGAGTTCGGTTCATATCATAGAATGTCTCACGGTTAGTAAACTGGTCGTATTCAACGCCAATGACGCGCGATTGATTTACCCAAATCTCGCGATTGAGTGTCTGCTGAGGATTGCGCACATCACCCACTAAATTGTACACGGAATACATATTGTTTGTTAAACTCTCGCCCATCGTGACGCTCTGGTGTGACCACATGGCCAGCATTTCAGCTTCAACCGGCAAAGCAGCCTCGAGTAACGGATGTCTGGCAACGGCCGATGACTCCACAACGACGCCGTTGGCACTGTGAATCACGAGAGTGTTATTCGGTTTAATTTCGGCGTCGGCATTCTCCCCACCCTTTTTCATGAAAGTAGAGCGCACACCACCCAAAACCAGCAACTCATTCGTTTCACCGCGCTCGCGTGAGAAAAGTGACTCAACGGAAGCGTGCACGTACACAGTAAGCCCTTTGTTATCGGCCAGCTCGGAAGTGATGCGCACGATTTCGCCGCTTGGCAGGATGGTACCAGTAACACGTCCAAACTCGTCATACTGATAGATGTAAGTCTCGCCGCCTGATGAGCGCGACATGAGCAGCCCAGTGTTACTGTCATAGTCCAGTTCGATCTCTTGACGACCCTTCTCGCTCAGTTTAGTCATAATGCCAATGCCATTTATCTGTATTTCAGACTTGTGATCTTGCGTGTTTTCGATGGAGCTGACCACGTTACTGTAGTCGCGAAGAAATTGAATCTTATTGCCTGAGGCATCGGTGACGGTGGAGAGACGACCAAAGGAGGTATTCTTTGAATAAAGGAAACTGTAACGAGTCTTGCCCGAAGTCAGATCCTTTGTGGCAACATGTTGGCCGTAACGATTGAAGACATAAATTTCACTGGATGGAGGATACGGAATATGGAACTCGCCGTTCTCGTCGTGTGATGGCAGATAATGCTCGAGCGCAAGAACATGAAGCGAACCTGGAAATAAATGATATCGGCGATTAGTTGTGCTTATATGTACATACGTACAAGGCTCATTCAAGGAAATTATTTTAACGAAATGAGGTGGAGCCAGGGAAGAAAGCAATAATTCTTTTGCATTTTATTAAGATTTTTTAACTTGGTGTAGCAGATCTGCCACGTCTAATTAATGAATAACACAGAGAGTGAAATAATGAAAATGCCGCTTTTCCTTTGAAACTAAGTCATTCAGAGACATAAGAAACTTCGTCTGTCTTTTGCCTGATATCTTGTGTGGTGGATTCCCTTGAAATATGTTCCTCGTGTGGAGTTTAATCCGGCGATTCCCCAAATCAAAAATCATAAACGTGTTAAACACTTTATTTCAGACTTCTAAATTAAACTTACTTCCTTGTTCTAGATAAGTGGCAATACTACACAAGCATATGTGTGGAGTAAAGCTATATTCAACAATCTCTCTCACTGTTTTACTTAAATGGATGGCAGCTCTACTTAAAATCACCAAAAGCCGGGTCGAACAATTTCCGTTTGATACAAATACTATTATATTCTATTACATATGAGCCGTTTAGTTTGAAAGTGGTATAAGTCATCTTAAAAAACAAAAACTCGGGTTAATCATATCATTAATTACATCTAAACAGTATCATAAAAAAAAATGGATTGAAATGTTGAGCATCGGTGAACTTTTGTTCGAGAGAAGTTTAACTAAACAGCGGTACAACAAAGAAGTTTATTTTGAAAGTAACATCCCTCAAAGTCCCTCAAAAAATCATGTTAATGGCAACATTGATTACACCGGCCAAAAGTCAGTTTTCCACAAAACGAAGGAGCCCAATATAGTACAACTGCGTTTTTGGATTTTTCTTTGGCGTCAAATTTTTTTTTTAAATGACTTCGAAATTTTAAAGGTGTCATTACTTTCTTGAGTACATATGAGTAGTCCACTTGCAAAGTGCGCTATGTAAAATTTTTTCGATTGTGAGTTTCTGGCGGGTAGCGCCACAGTGCAAAATCTATCTATATTCTGAAAAAGCAGCATCAAATGTTAACTTGCAAAAGTCGCTATCATCCTCTCTTATACACTCCATCTTTTTATGAATTTAGAAAACTACTACTTAAAACCTAATTTTCTCTGGCATTCATACTTATATTATGTTGTGATCTCAGAGGGCGAATGCGTTGTTTTCATTAAAAAGTTTCTATAATACATGTTGCTAGAAAACGAGGTAATTTCGATGCCTAGTGGCAGAGGTGGTAAAAAAGAAGACAAATATTCATGGAGGAGCGAACGCGAGAAAGCTAAAACAGTAATATAATGTACATTCCTAGCTACATATGAAAAGGTTACTGTTTCAAAACTCACTATATTAAATTTTAAATATAAAATTTGCTAAAACTACCATATTGCGTTTTATTTTTTTAATGATAATAGGCTCTTATTTATCCAAATTTTTTAGGTAATCAAAAAATATACAATTTAGATGTTACTTGTTGTCGTAGTCGTTTATTAATTTTTTTTTAAATTTATTTATGGCTTACACTGTTTCGCGTGTTTTAAAATTTTTTTGTTTTTGTTGAACGGTGTTGCAATTTAATTGCAGGGCTTAGTGGTATAAATTATTATTATTATTATATATGAAACTTATTCATCAATTTAAGTAAGTCACTGTCCTTTCGACACCTCGCTTCAGTTTAATACATCGGACAAAATTGAAATAACTCAGTAATTTTTCAAAACTATTTATTTTGCATAACTCATTTTACCGTAATGAAAAGTGGTGATTTTTCCATGACACTTCACGAAAACGAGATAGGGCGTTTTGAACCAAATTGTGAAATAGGGCTGCCGATATAGGTCGAACCACCGCTCAGCCGTCGATATAATCTCATAAAAAAATTGTTCTTTGAAAGTTTTTCGTCTTACGAGTAAAAGTACGTTTCCACGAGCTTCAAATTGGGCAATTTCGATTCTCAATTTCAATGTGAAAATCAATTTAGAAGACATTAGTTTACAAACGTTGTTACAAAATAAGCAAAATAAAAGATGTCTCTAAATAGTCTTGCTAATTTTTTCATTTTAACGATTTCGTAATTAAATTAATTGAACAAGTTAATGCTGTGTATGGATACCAAAGGCAAATATATTGCAAACAGAGGAAATACCGAAGTTCAAGCATTTTCATGTTGCGAAAGCTGTAAATATTGATTTCAATGACAACTTCCAGACAAGTTAAATATCCTAATAAAATCACTTCAAGCATACATATAAAAAATCCTCATTTAAATTCCAAAACCGTGTATCGCAGATGTGCAAAACTTCGTAACTGACTTTTTTGCCAAACTGACATCAACCCTTATCCATTCATACCAAACTAGCAATATTTAGATATAAAATGTAGATATAGTAGGGATAAAAGAGAGAAATGTTTTGAATCAAAACAGGTTTTACTATCTTCTATCCTATTTACTAGCTGTTTTGGCAACCTCAGTTATGGGTTTTTTCATCATATTTTATTTTTCATATTGTTTCTTTATCCATTAATAAATAATTTTTTAGACGTAGATATAAATCACTCAAAAGTTATGAAACTTCAAAGTTGCAACGAAAAAATTTCGAATTTTTTCTCAATTTCACCAAAAGTGAGATTCGTACTTAATTTCTTGAATAATTTTTGATTTTCAGTTAGCGGGTAACCCCATTTGTCGAAAATATGTTCTTTTTATTTTTCCTTTAGCGCTATTTAGCTCTTTTACTAAGGAGAAGTGATTAAAAAGTCACGGAAATCCAGGAATAATCGCTGGGAACTTTATTCAAGTCTGCCTCCCTCCTCCTGAAAAGGAGCCCGTGTAGGGTTTTATATGAAGCCCCGGATCTCAAACTTAATACCAAATCATGCCCTGCTGTAGTAAATCAAAGTCAAAGTAATCAAAATTCCAGCATGCCGATGTGCTACCTCCTCTACTCCTGCGTGTTTACTTTGAGGACTCAGTATGAGCCAATGTTCGTTGGCATATTTAGGTATTAGCCAAATATTGAAGCAATTTATGAAATTGTGTTTTGCGTTCAGTTTACATTTGCATCTTCCCATACCCCGTTCGAGCCACTTTTTCCATTCATATTGGCGAACAAAGCGGCGGTTGTTGGGACTGCTGTTGCTACTGCAATGCCATTCAGAGCCACTTTAGTACACTGCTGACAGCACAACTCATGCAACACAGCAGCAACATGAGCCGGGACGGGACGGATGGTAGCAAGGCAGTGCGGCATCACAGCTGCTGATGATGTCAATTTTCATACGGAGACGGAGTAACATGTAAGCCATCGGACAGAGAAGCTCGTACACATGCCATGTGAAAGCAGAAAATAAAAATTAGGCGACCGCAAGCTGCAACATTGCAGTGCCAGCAGCAGGAGGATGCCGCCCTGTCAGGCCACCTATGAGTACGACGGCTGCACAAGTATGCATGTGTGCGTGTGAGTATGTGAATGTGAAAGCAATAGAGAAGCCTGAATGGAATGTGGTTGACTGCAATGCGAAAAGTTGTAGCCAACAGCCTGGCGCCAACAACACGTTGCAAGTGGTGATATGGTACAGTTTTTTGCATGTCGGATTTTGAGGTGATGAAATTGGCCACAATACAAAAACGTGTACCACTGTGCCGGTGGCAGCTCAACATTTGGTGGCGGTGGGTGGGTTGGGTGGATTGCCACACGCATGAGCGCACCAGCAGTATGGCAACCCATTCATGCTGCTGCAGCAATGTGCAATGCAACGACTATTACTGAGCGTTACTTGGCATCCGGGCACACGCCAACACGCCAACACGCCAACACCCACACGCACTCACGCATACAAGCATGCGTGCACTAAGCAAGTGTTTCTAAGTAGTTGTGCAACGTGCGTGCGTGCGAACTGTGCAATAAATTTTATGAGTGAATTATTAGATTTTTAAATGAAAGTTTACTGTGCAGCGTTGAGCATTTAATTATATTTATCGGGCAAAGTTTGCTCGAGAAGAAGTTCAAGCAGCCATTGCGTTTACGGTATTTTGCGAAATAACATGAATTTTGCACTTCTGCTTGAGTTAAAGTGCTTTCATATATATATTTATTTAATGATAATCCATGCATTTATTTTCAAGCCACCATCTGCTTAGCAGAGGCATGCGGATGAAAGCTTATTTGAACTTGTGAAAAGGTGAAGAATGGAAATTATTTAGGTAAATTGTTGGAAATAATTTTTGCGTTAGACTGTGTTAGGGTATGTTCACACAGAAAGCGGCGCCGAGCCGAGCGAAGCTGTTCCGGGCTAAGTGAAGCTTTCAAATTGCTGTAGCTGTGTATATGAAAGAGTTCGTACAGCAAGCTTTTTTAGAAACGTTTTAAATCGGAAAGCAAAGCAGTTTTTGATTTTGAATTTTCTATTGAATTTTTGAGTTTCATGACGCTGCTGCAAACAAGATATCAAAATATTCAAACAAAATCAAATATTACAACTAAACTTTTGAATAAAATTGAGCAAATATTTTTGCCGCTTTTCATTGACGGTAACTTTTGTGGTGGGAGTCCATCAGTTACGCTTCGATTTATTAAGTGTGAACAACAGCAGCTTCGCCTTGTTCCACCTTGCTTCGCTCCACGCCGCTCGGCTTTCTGTCTGAACACACCCTAACACTGTAGAACAATAAAAAAAATTTTGTATTTCGGATCTTAAACTGCTAAAGGAATGCTGGGCTCGAATCGTAACATACGTAAAAACAGATTTTTCTGCTTATAGCACATTTTCAATGTATTTTCAACGTTTTTGAATTCGAAGCTAAGAGCGTTCTTCAACCAAATTCTGAGATAAAGCGTTTTGCAATCAAATTCTGATGTAGGGCGTTCTTCAATCAGGTTTTGAAATTGGGCATCCTTGAAAAGATTTCTAAGATAGGGCGTTTTCGAATTGACTGCCGGGCACGGTGGGCAGGAAGCAAAGATAGGTTGCATAAAA